GAGGCTGCACAGACCGAGCGGCAGCTCGATAGGGAGTGTGTGGGAGGGTCACCCTCATAAAAAATTTTTTTTTTAAATTTCAGTTTTCTGTAAGCAGTGAAAACACTATTTTGGCATTGTTTGCGGGGTTAAACCTAAAAATCACATTAATACACCTATTGCACGATATTGTGAAACTAGCTGACGAAGACAGCTCGGGCGGCGATTGTTCGACTCGGGGCTGCTCTGTCAGTATCTAACAAACGCATTTAGTTCGCGTACAACTTTTAAAAACCGAATGTCAGTATGGTATTTCTCACATAATTGGTTATCGCAAAAACAGAGTAAACTGAAAGCGAGTAATCTCGACTCAAACCTATAGTCTATAGCCTACTTACAGTACTACACTCGTCACTAGGCTTCCTATATTATTGTTTGTGGACGGTTTACTACTCAGTCATAAGCCTGCGCCGCAAAAAGAGGTCTCGCCTTTTATTATTAGTATAATGACTTCCTCATGTGCGGCAGGTTAGTTTGCTTCTAAAAACACTGTTTTCCGTTCCAAAAAATACAAAAGTAATTTTCTACCAGATGACCATGGTTCTTTTCACCGAGACTAGATAATTTCTCTCGATGTAAGGATATAGCTATGGATAAGTTCATACAAGGTCAATAAATCCGCGGTCACTTCGGGTCACACTGTTGAGAAAATAAATTGATGGGTTTGTTTAGTAGCAAATCGAGCGTGAATCAACTGAGTTTGTACTGAAAAATTTTTGAGTGATATGTATGAACTGTCTTCACACATTCGGTTTATAATTAGCGATACACAGGTACAGTGGCAACTGTTGTACTTCACAGACTGTTTACCTCCGAACTACCTCCGCACGAAATCCCCGATTTGGGTACTTGTTAAAAGAAAAAGAAATAGTACCTGTGCGCATGCCAGTAAAAAAAAACTAAGAGTTTGCGCATAAAAATGCCCGAACGTACCAGGCGCCAGGTCATCCAGTACAGTGGTTGAAATTATTGCACACGTCTTGTCAAACCTTGAAATATAGGGTTATCCCCAAAAGATCTCGACTGCTTTCCATATTGGCATGTATCGGATCGAAACTTCATGGATTATGGCCCCTGATTGTACGAAAAATCACGTTTTTATACGCCCACATTTTCATGTGGACGTATATTGTCGTCGCCCCTGTCCGTCTGTCCACAATTGTTTGTGAACAGTCTACAGGTCACAATCTTTATCCGATTTCAATGAAACTTGAAATATAGGTTTATCACCCTAAGATCTCAGTTCCTTTCGATATTGGCATCTATCGGACTGTAACTTCATGGATTATGGCCCCTGATTGTACGAAAAATCACGTTTTTGGCTTGTGAACACTGTAGAGGTCACAATTTTTATCTGATTTTTTTATTCGATTTAAAAAAAACGTATTATTATATCACCGTTAAACCCTAGGGCGGTTGAGTTCGAATTTCGTGAAAATCGGCCCAAAACTGACAGACAACTGATTTTGTTGAAACTTGAAATGTAATTTTATAACACAAAGATCTCGGTTCCTTTCGATATTCGCGCATATCGGACCGTAACTTCATGTGGACCCTATAGAGGTCATAATTTTATCCGATTTAAAAAACCGTGTTAATATATCACCGTTAGACCCTTAGGACGGCTGAGTTAGAATTTCGTGAAAATCGGCCCAAAACTGACAGACAAAATGGCCTCCCCTCGTACTCAAATAGCGTAGAAATATGATATATCAAGGTTGTGGACTCTCTAGAGGTCACAGTTTTCTTCTGATTTTGATGAAACTTGAAATGTTAGTTTATAACCCAAAGATCTCGGTTCCTTTCGATATTTGTGCATATTGGACCGTAACTTCCTGAATTATGGCCTCTGATTGTACGGAAAATTTTATTCGGTTTAAAAAACTTTTTGAATATATCACCGTTACACCCTAAGGATGGTTGAATTTAAATTTTGTAAAAAGCGGACCAAAACTGACAGACAAAATGGCCGCCCCTTGTACCTAAATAGCGTAAAAATAAGGTATATGAATGTTGTGGAACCTCTAGAGGTCACAATTTTCTTCTGATTTTGATGAAACTTGCAATAAAAGTTTATAACCCAAAGATTTTGGTTCCTTTCGATATTCACGCATATCGGATTGTAACTTTCTGAATTATGGCCCCTGATTGTACGAAAAATCATGTTTTTAGCTTGAGGTCCCTCTAGAGGTCACAATCATTATCTGATTGAAAAAAAAAACTTTGAATATATCACCTTTGCACCCTAAGGATGGTTGAGTTCGAATTTCATGAAAATCGGACCAAAACTGACAGACAAAATGGCCGTCCCTCCTAGTCATATAGCGTAAAAAATATGGTATATCAAGGTTGTGGACCCTCTAGAGGTGACAATTTTCTTCTGGTTATGATGAAACTTGAAATGTAAATTTATAACCGAAAGATCTTGGTTCCTTTCAGTTTTTGCGCATATCGGATCGTAACTTCCTGGATTATGGCCGCTTTTTATTTAGTTTGTTCTCTATCCATATCTTGCAAAATGTGGGCGTATCCTGCCTGGCAGCCACTGGTTTGCTCTGCTTTTGTGATGGGTGAAACATGTGCCCTAACTGTATTCAATATGCCTCAATTCTATTAAATACCAAAAACGTTTCTCAATTGACTTAGAGCATTTAGTTTAGACTGCCTGTTTTTTTATGCATTTCACCGATGTGGTTACTTGTATAGTTAATTTTTACTTCAATATGCTTACATTCATATTTCTTGGAACATAAAGCAGATCATAGTTTCTGTGGGTTATATCCCTGATTGTTTTCGAATTTGAGTGAAGTCTGCATCATAACAGGTCCGGGACTGTACAGCGCAGGGGACCCTTACGGCTAGCCCCCGGATCCATTCACTTAATTTGAATTGTTCATTTGTTTGTGATTTCTGCGTATTGTGTCTTGTCCGTATATTTGTCTGACCCATCGGTCATTTTGCACGCCAGAAATATAGCCTCTTTTCTCAAAACCCAATTCTTAAGCATGGCTATGATCGACCTCCGTCATATAGCTATAAAATTGTACAGTGGAATAAAGCTATTTCACACACACACACACACACCCACACACACACACACAGAGAAAAATGCACATGTATAGAAGCCACATAATCTCATGATTGGTGTTATAGAGTTGTATACATAGTCGTCTCAGATTATACTTAGTGTTGTGTTGATAATTAATGATGAGTTTCTGATAGTAGAACAATAAAAGTTAATTGATATGTGGGAATCTTATCAAGGCATGAAGCGGTCCATTGTTCGGCATTCACTATTTGATCACCCACGTGTCAAAAGAATTTTTTAGAACAAAGCCGTTTTAAATACCACTATTACGGTCACGTATGATGTAAACAAGATTATTATGATCTTCGAAAAAAGGGTAATCAGATAAGAAATACTACTCTTCGAATCCAACCAACTGTCATATTGAATAAAAACAGCATAGAAATTACGTAAATCCTCAACAACGTACGTGTTGGGAGAAAAATGCATCATAATATTTTTGCAGCGATATTACGACCTTGTGGGTATTGTACAATTAAATATAGAGATTAGTTAACTTGCTTACCAAAAAATTACGACAATTACGTTTTCCAGTGCTATGTAGCAATATTGGTAATTCCACGTGTTGCAAAAATGTTGTGTATATAGTTACTCTTATTATAAACGACATTCTAGGGGGCGATAGTGTTGCTAGCTGTGAAGTTTTTTTATATAGTTATTCATTATTAGGATTTACGTCACAATTCTGAGGTCCGTAATGCCGTAAGAGATGGTCTAAAACTGATAAATGTGAGAAATATGCCGTGGATAATTATATATTTATCTTCATTTCAAAGTTATTGTATTAGAACTCAAAATTATCCAGGTCAGTGTGTTTTCTATAGAAGACGTGGTAATACATGTAAGCTAATGAGATGATTTTTCTACGGCCTATTCAGCTATTTCGATTTTTTAAGTAGCCAAAACGGAATGTTTAATTAATAAATACATGTAATTATCATAAGCCTTAATGTTGTAGACCCTCTATAAGTCACAATTGTTATCAAATTTTGATAAAACTTAAAATGTATGTTTATGTTTCAAAGATCTCTGTTCCTTAGCTTGTGGATTCTCTGGAGGTCACAATTTTTTATCCGATTTTATAAAACATTTAAATACATCACCATTCCACCATAATGAAGGTTGAATTCGAATTTCTTGAAAATCGAAACGAAACTACTCGACAAAATGACTGCTCTTTGTATGCAGATTGTGTAAAAGTATGTAATACAAAGATTGTGGACCCTCTAGAGGTTAAATTTTTTATCCGATTTTGATGTAACTTAAAGTATATGTATATATCCCAAAGGCCTCAGTCCCTTTCGATACTTGCGCACTTCAGACCATAACTTTCTGGATTATGGCCCCTGATTGTACGAAAAATCGCTTTTATTTTTAGCTTGATCTCTATCCATCACTTGCAAAATGTGGGCGTATCTCCTTCATATATAAATATTCTTCATATAAATGAAATATTATAATTAATATTTTGAAAATATGAATTGTAATAAACAACAATATTTTTAGCAAGTTTTCGTGGCTATATAGATTTATATTTGAACCAGCTCATTAAATTTTGTTTGTAAAGTCGGTACTGTTTTTATTCTAAAAACGTTTAATGATACTGACTAGAAAGTGTCAAGTGAATACTCCAGGGGTTTTTTCAACTTTTTATGCATGGTTATTTACATTTAAGAGATGATAAACTGAAAGTATTGACATTTTATAATGGGATATCGCCCAGCTCTAACTGGCAAAAGAAAAAATATCGGACAACCCTCATGTTCTGTTACTGTTAGGAAATTTTATCTGCCTTGGGCGTATGTCTCATCGCTTGGCAACCTAACTTTGTATTATGTTTTTATGGCAAGCTTATATACTTAATAAATAGCAGATATTGTTGTAACAGAATTTTTTCGACAACCATCAGCTTTATTTCATGTTGTCAACCCTAGCTATTTAGGTAAGTAATTTGATGACAACAATCTGATTTAGTCAGTCTGTTCCCCCTGGAATATAGTATGCAAACATGTATGCCCAGATTTTCAAAATTTTCACCAAACCTCCAGATATACCACTCTTGATAATTTTAATAATAATAATAGTTTATTTTTAAACTCCCACATTTTTTTAAACTCCCACATTTTCATGTGGACATATGTCGTCAGATACAAATTTTTACCTCCAATTCGTAATAAAATATTTAACTACCATGAAATTATTGAAAACCTAAACATACTAGAATTTATTGACAATTAAGATAATACCGCATGTCAATGCGCCAACTCTCCATTTAAAGACAAGTTTCATGACCATATGCGCGCTGTATCATAAGGCCTGTCATTTAGTCAACTGGCGTGGTTTCGAATCCCCGATTGTATGTTTGAAAAATAGCGTCGGACATGTCTGGAATATACAGGCGAAATTCCCATCACTGTTTCAAGGTTTTAGAAAATTCAATTTTATGACGTCACTTAAAAATAAAATTGAGGTCAAATATCAAAATTCTAATCTCAGCGGTCATTACTATTGAAAATGGAATAAGAATTGTTGGACGAGATAGATTTTTAAGATTGACTTACGTTTTAAAATTAGGTCATAAGCATGCGCGATAGAGACAACATTCTATTAGACAAAACTTCTAGATTACGAACACCTAATCGCTTTTTGTTTAGCTTGTTTTCTATCCATCTCTTGCAAAATGTGGGCGTATCCTGCCTGGCAGCCGCTGGTTGTCTATGACATCACTTCCTGATAACATTGTTAAAATTTTAGTTATTCATTGAACTCTTGATAACTTTCAAATGGTTTAGAGTAGTGTTGTCACGATTACAAAATTCTTGAATCGGTTAATCGGCTAGCCAAAAATCGTATCGGTGCCGATTAATCGAATGCCGTATAAATTCTATAATAATGTAAAATTAATGGCTAATAATTAGCTGACCATACATTATTTTAATACATTTCTTTGGGTTTGAGCTAATGAGATGTTGGAATACATTTTTTAAATTGGCAATAAACAACATGTACCAAGTCATTCTTTTTGATATTTAGTTAAGCATTGGACTGAGTAAGAGTAGACATCCCCGCGTTCAGACTTACCCCCACATCTTTAACTGCTAATTAAAAATCCAATACCAGCAGTAGATTACAATTCACTAGTACAACAATTCCCGTACATAATATTTTAACATATATAGCGATAATCATATTGACGGAAAACAACAAGAAAACCCGCACAAGACGGTACAAATAAAAAAAAAACATGTGGGAGGAGAAAAGAAGAGCCTCCTGACTGGTAATGTCCGGTTTGGGAACTGTTTATTCGCGTCTCGGACACAGTAACGTCACATTCTGATTGTGAATTAAATAACAAAATACAACTGGATTTAAAATTAATTTATACATGAGGAATTTGTGAGGGAATCTTTCGATTATATTGTTCGAGAATTGTCTTCTTTCAAAACTATTACTTTATCAAAATTACATTGGTAGTTTATCACTTGTAAAAAGGCATCGCCAACTTCCCCGTCGCGTGCGGCATGCATTCAGTCCATGTATTATAAAGTTCCGTGATATGCAGCAATTCAGTAGTGTGTTAAGCAGACAGTAAAAGTCAAACATTATATGTAATTGTATCAATATAAATTAGATGAAACGACTACCAATTTTTCAAAATGTGAACCGGTTTGAGCTAGAAACCGAATCGACAACGGCTAAACCGATTAATCGTGACAACCCTAGTTTAGAGATTTTTTGAATGTACTTTTCCTAAAAAGCTTGCAAAAAAAAGAATAATAATAATCTTTATAAAAATAATAGTTTTTTTATACGCCCACATGGAAATGTGGTCATATATTGTGGTCGGCCCGTCCGTTGTCCACAATTTTGTGAACACTGATTGTTTTGAAATTAATATATGTTTACATTAGTGAGGTGGAGAATCCTGTTTAATTTCAATAATTTCCATTAATTTCTTCTGGAGTTATGGCCCTTGTTTTACTTTATTGCACCTTGTGAACACTCTAACAACAAAAATTATCATTCGATCTGTATGAAATTTATGTACATCCTTTAACCCGTTAAGTGTGACGTTTTTAAAACGTTAACTACCCCCTATTGTGTAATTAATTTGACAAAGTGACGAAGAACTATGTACTATGTTCTAAGAATAGGTTGGGGAAAATACCTCCAAGGGGTTATATTATGCCCTACACACAGTGAGTGGTAGTTGTCTAGGACGTAATATAACGTCCTACACATGCTGCGATCATGGGGGAATTCCCAAGTGACGAACTATGTTCTAAGAATAGGTTGGGGAAAATACCTCCAAGGCATTATATTATGCCCTACACACAGTGAGTGGCAGTTGTCCAGGATGTTATATAACGACCTACGCACTTAACGGGTTAAATTAGTGAAACAAAGCATCCAATTGAATTTAAGCAATTTCCGTTAATTATGTCAAGAGTTATGGTCCTTGTTTGCTCTAATGCCAAATGTTATCATCCAATCTTTTTGAAATTTATATGCATTATTTAAATTAGTGAAATGAAGAATTCTATTGAATTTCAGCAACTTCTATTAATTATGTCTAGAGTTATGGCCCTTGTTTCACTTGGTAGAACCCTGTGACCGCTCGGACGAATTAGCTGGTGTGGGCGTATGTTTCGTTGCCTGGCAACCTGTCTTTGTCTATCACATAACTTGTGAAGTTTTAATACGCCCACATTTTCATGTGGACGTATATTGTCGTCGTCCCTGTCTGACCGGACAACCGTATGTCTGGACGACTGTCCATCCACAATTTGTTTGTGGACACTCTACAGGTCACAATTGTTACCGGATTTTGACGAAACTTGAAATATAGGTTTATCTCCAAAAGACCTTGGTTGCTTTCGATATTGGCATGTATCGGATCGAAACTTCATGGATTATGGCCCCTGTTTGTACGAAAAATCACATTTTTAGTTTGTGGATCCTATTGAGGTCAGAATTTTTATCCGATTTTGTTAAAAATATCTCGGTTCCTTTCGATATTTGTGCATATCGGACTGTAACTTCCTGAATTATGGCCCCTGATTGTACGAAAAATCGCGTTTTTAGCTTGTGGACCCTATAGAGGATATAATTTTTATCCGATTTAAAAAAACGTATTATTATATCACCGTTACACCCTAAGGACACCTGAGTTTGAATTTCGTGAAAATCGGGCCAAAATTGCCGAATAGTGTAAAAATATGGTATATCAAGGTTGTGGACCCTGTAGAGGTCACAATTTTAATTCGATTTTGATGAAACTTGAAATTCATGTTTATAATCCATAGATCTTTTTGGTTACTTTCGATATTGTCGCATATCGGATCATAACTTCCTGAATTATGGCCCCTGATTATACGAAAAATCACCTTATTATACGCCCACATGGAAATGTGGTCGTATATGGCCGTCGCCCCCGTCCATCCATCCGTCTGTCGTCCACAATTTCTTGTGAACACTCTACAGACCAAATTTATCATCTGATTCTTTTGAAATTGATATGTTTACATTAGTGAGATGAAGAAGCCTATTTTATTTCAATAATTTCCGTTTATTTCTTCTTGAGTTATATTGGGGGGATCACGTGGCTAAGTGAGTAAGACGCTGGCTCGCTAGCCTGGATGTCGGGTGTTCGATCACTGCATTGGCCGAGAAAGTTCATCCAGATTTTCCGGCGTGGTTCCCCCCTTGTCAGTGATGCAGGATGGAGGGCCTGACAAGGACAGCTGTCTAGTCCTTCGGATGAGACAAAAAACCGAGGTCCCTGTATATATTGGAATGCATGTAAAAGATCCCCTGGCAGTTGGAATTCGATATAAGAGTAGGCGATAGTGCCGCTGCCCGGGCAAAATTTCCCTCATAGCACACTGTATGGCATATGCCCGTCTTCATTAGCCCAGTATAGGAGCAGAACAGTAGGACGTTAAACCATATTTCATTTCATTTCATTTGAGTTATATTGTCGTAGCCCCCGTCCGATTGACTTTAAATTTATACACAGTGTTTAAGGTTGTGAGACGAAGAAGCTCAGTGATATTCAATGTTTTCCGATACTTACTACCAGATTTATGGCCCATGATACACAGAGTTTAAGGTCTTGAGACAAACAAGTATATTGATTTTCAATAAATTTTGATAACTTGAACAGCTAAATCCATGATATTAAATGTTTCGTATACTAAACGTTAGCATGGGGCAGAACAAAAAGCCAAGCAAATTCTATTGATTTCTTAATGAATTAATAATAATATAATAATAATAATAGTTTATTTTCAATAAGTATTCAGGCCATGGAGCCCATAGTACACTCAAGACAAGATCATAAAATCACAAACATAAGAAACCAACACTATTTACACGGATTCATCATAACCTCGCGTTAAATCATGGTAAATGATTTCATTATTTTAGTTTACTCAAGTAATTTTCTCTTCTTTTCATAACATTATAAATAAACTTACTTATGTTACAGATTGTATCACAATTAGTTCTCTACAGGTCACAATTTTCTTATTCGATTTTGATGAAACTTAAAATGTTTGTTTATATCCCAAAGATCTTGGTTCACTTTGACATGCCACATGTTGGACCGTAACATCTTGTATTATGGCCGCTTATTGTATGCTTTTTAGCTTGCTCTCTGTCAATCTTGCAAAATGTTGGTGTATCTTGTATGGCAACCGCTGTTTTGTTGCTTGGCAATCTATCTTTCCTAACTAAGACTGCTGATGTCCATTGTTTCATCGTAAGTCGATGTATCTTTTATTGTAGCATTTGTAGTATTACCAAACATGAAATGGGTTTTAGAATCAAATAGAGAATATGATATATTGATTGAAGTATATGATACAGATAGTCACAAGATATTTTCATCTGACGTAAGTATTTGATTTTTATACGCCCACATTGGAATGTCAAATATTGTTGTCGGTCCAGTGTCCACAATTGGCTGTAATTATCCCTTGTTATGGCCCTTGATCATTTTTATACGCCCACATTGAAATGTGGACGTATATTGCCGTCGCCCCCATCTGTCTGTCCGTCCGTCTGTCAGTCCGTCCATCAGGCCGTCCGTCATCCACAATTTCTTGTGAACGCTCTAACGCCAAAAGTTATCATCCAATTGTTTTAAAATTAATATATGTTGTTTACATTAGTGAGATGAACAAGCCTATTTAATTTCAATAATTTCTGTTTATTATGTCTAGAGTTATGGCCCTTGTTTCACTTGATTGAACCTTGTGGCACTCTAACGCCAAAAGTTATCATCCAATCTTTCTGAAATTTATATGCATTATTTAGATTTACTGGAACGAAGAAGCCTATTAAATTTATCATCCAATCTTTCTGAAATTTATATGCATTATTTAGATTTACTGGAACGAAGAAGCCTATTAAATTTCAGCAATTTCCGTTTATTATGTCTAGAGTTATGGCCCTTGTTTCACTTTATTGATGCTTGTGAACGCTCTAACTTCAAAAGTTATCATCCGATCTTTCTGAAATTTATTTGCATTATTTAGATTACTGAAACTAAGAAGCCTGTTGAATTTCAGCAATTTTGGTTAATTACGTCTAGAGTAATGGCCCTTGTTTCACTTTATTGATCCTTGTGAACGCTCTAACGTCAAAAGTTATCATTCGATCTTTCTGAAAATTATATGCATTATTTAAATTAGTGAGACGAAAAAGCCAATTGAATTTCAGCAATTTCCTTAATTACGTCTAGAGTTATGGCCCTTGTTTCACTTTATTGAACCTTGTGAACGCTCCAACACCAAAAGTTATCACCCAATCTTTGTGAAATGTATATGCATTATTTAGATTAGTGAAACGAAGAAGCCTATTGAATTTCAGCAATTTCCGTTTATTACATCTAGAGTTATGGCCCTTGTTTCACTTTATTGATCCTTGTGAATGCTCTAACGTCAAAAGTTATCATTCAATCTTTCTGAAAATTATATGCATTATTTAAATTAGTGAGACAAAAAAGCCTATTGAATTTCAGCAATTTCTGTGTATTAAGTCTAGAGTTATGGCCCTTGTTTCACTTTATTGAACCTTGTAAACGCTCCAACGCCAAAAGTTATTACCCAATCTTTGTGAAATGTATATGCATTATTTAGATTAGTGAAACGAAGAAGCCTATTGAATTTCAGCAATTTCCGTTTATTACGTCTAGAGTTATGGCCCATGTTTCACTTTATTGATCCTTGTGAATGCTCTAACACCAAAAGTTATCACCCGATCTTTGTGAAATTTATATGCATGATTTAAATTAGTGAAATGAAAAAGCCTATTGAATTTCAGCAATTTACAATAATTACTTCTAGAGTTATTACCCTTGTTTCATTTTGTTAAACCTTGTTAATGCTCGATTGATGAAAGTTATCATCCGATATGTATGAAATTTATATGCATTATTTACATTAGTAAAACGAAAAAGCATGTCAAATTTCAACAATTTCTGTAGATTACTTCCAGAGTTGAGACCCTTGTTTCAGTTTTTAGAACCTTGTAAACCCTCAAACAACAAAATTTATAATCTGATCTGTATGGAACTGTCTTGTTAAGGCCCCCAATTACCTACAAAGGAATAAAAATGCGACAACCCTTGTCGTCCGCTCGGAGGATTTAGCTGCTGTGGGCGTATGTTTTGTTGCCTGACAACCTATCTTTAAAAATCTTGTGGATGTTCTAGCCGCTGAAGTTATCACCCGATTGACTTTAGATTTATACATAGTGTTGATGGTCATGAGACGAATAAGCCTATTTTTATCCGCCCACATTTTCATGTGATATAAAATAATTAATAGAATACAATATCAAAAAAACATCGTTTTATCAAACATTTCGTCAGTAAAAATAGTAACTTCTTCTGGGATGAAGAACTAAATTCAGAAAAAAAAAAAAAAAAAAAATAATCGGACCAAAACTGACTGACAAAATGGCCGCCCATCGTTCTTAAATGGCGTAAAAATATGGTATATCAATTTTTATACGCCCACATTTTCATGTGGACGTATATTTTCGTCGCCCCTGTCCGTCCGGACGTCCGTCAGTCCACAATTTGTTTGTGGACACTCTACAGGTCACAATTCTTATCCGATTTTAACGAAACTTGAAATTCCACTCTCATCCGAGCGCCCGAAGGGCGCGAAGGATGAGAAGAATTATATGAATATATAGCCCGAGGGCTCGAGGATTTATGATTGCATGTTTCTTGTGACGTCACTAGAATATGCACTAAATTCAACGTTTAAAGTAAACAAAACTCACACGTGCGTGTGTATATAACCATCACGTGTCCCCAGATCAGGGTATATAAACAGAAATCTATCCATCATCAATGTCTTTTTAAAGTAAAGTGTAACCATAAGTGGACAACCAAATGAATAATATAGCCAAGGGAGGACAGAGGGAGGGAAGATAAATCCTCGAGCCCTCGGGCTATATATTCATATAATTCTTCTCATCCTTCGCGCCCTCGGATGAGAGTGGAATTATATTCCACTATAGCCCTTCGGGCTTCTCCGATTTATGATTGCATATTTAAAGGGTTGGTCACTTAGTAACATTAAACAACACTTAACACTTAACGTAGTTAAATAATTTTAATACTGTAAATCATTTATCAGTGAAAACATAATCTTGAAACACTGTACTTGCTTCTGTAACCTCTTCCCTCTTATAATATTTAAAAAACGTCTGCTCATTCTTCCAGCTGGCAGTCTCTAGCAATTCTGAAATTGGACAGCCCGACAAATAAGCTTTAGAAGTCGAAGCTCCTCTCATAGAATGGGCAGAAAAAACAGAAGTATTAATTCCAGCAAGGGCCATAGTTTCTTTAATCCACCTGCTTATGGTAGAAGCAGAAATACAGTTAAAAGTTACATAAGACACAAAGAGTTGCTTAGACTTTCTTCTGCTTTTAGTGGACTTCAAATATTGTCTTAGAGTAAAACATGGACTTTTAATTTTAATTAGTTTTAATGGATTGGAGGCCTTGGTTGTTTTAAGGACCTTATCTGTGATCAAAGTTATACAGAAACCACTATCAATCAGACCATTAATAGTGAGAGCCGTAAGAGTCTGACATCTATGGGCTGAAGCGAGAGCTAATAAGGCCACTGTTTTATATGTTAATAGTCTCAGAGGTAAATCCTCCAAAGGAAACAAAGAACTTAAATATTTCAATAAAACTGAAACATCCCAAGTAAAAGTGTACTTGGGTTTAGGCGGATTTTTGTCATACAATCCTTTCATGAATCTTGAGACTAGTGGCTCATTTTTCAGAGTAATTTTGCCTAAAATTTGCAAAGTCTGTGATATCGCAGATCTATGAATATTGACCACACTGTAGGAACGATGGTCTGATAAAAAACTCAAATAATTGATAACATCAATTACAGATGGATCCAACGGATCAATTTTCCTCTGAATACTCCAAAAACACCATCGTTTCCAGGCAAGATCATATTGTTTATTGGTACCTGCTCGCCAAGATCCAATAATGAGGTCTCTAGACTTGTCTGAAAGTCCTTGGTTAGAGAGATATTGCCTGATACAAGGCAAGCGGTTAGGAACATGTGTTTGCCCCTTAAAGGATGAAGGCAATTGTTGTGTGCTAAACGAAGGAGATCTTTCCTGAGAGGTAGAAGCACTGGTTCGGCGATCAACATGGAAAGTAAAGTAGGGAACCATACCTGGGACGGCCAAGCTGGAACTATTAATATACCCATCAAGACACAATCTTCCTTCATCTTGGAAAGCACTTTTGGTAAAATACTGAAAGGTGGAAACATATAGGGATGATAATTAGACCATGAAATTGAAAAAGCATCAAAAGCAACTGCAAAAGGGTCAGGGTCCCAGGAAACATAGCAATCCATCTGTGCATTTATTCTGGATGCAAAAAGATCCACGTCTGGCAGAAAAAATCTATTACAAACTTTATTAAATATATATTCGTTAAGTTTCCACTCAGTTGAGTTAGAAAAAACTCGAGACAATCTATCAGCTGTCTGATTCTCTTTGCCTGGTAAATGTTTAGCTGACAAAAAAATGCTTCTCTTATAACACCACAACCATATTTCTTTAGTAATGGTAAATAATGGATCACTTGATCCCCCTACATTATTTATATATGAGACAGCAACCATACTATCGGACAAAATTGAAACGTGCTTCCATTCAATAATTGAGGAAAAACACTGTAAGCCATACAAAATTGCCAATAGCTCCAGTGCATTAATATGCTGCTTTGATTCAGAAAGATTCCAAAGGCCATTAGCCTGAGAGTTTCCTAACACTACACCCCAACCAGTAAGGGATGCGTCGGTTTTCATTGTTATGGCAATTTTGGGTGGTTGAATAAAAAACCCATTAAAAGACTTGACACTATTATACCACCAGAGCAATTCCGATCTCATCTCTTCATTCAAAGATATAGCTGCATCATAATCAAAATTACTGCACGCTAAAGCCACATTCTTTTGTCTATCCAGGAAATGAATAAATAGTGGCGCGACTAAAACAGCTGTCCTTGTAAAGGAACACAGCCCAATAAATGAAGCAATTTTACGAATGGTCAATTTAGGTGCAAGAAGAATATCATTTGCAAGTGATCTAATTTTATCAATTTTTTCAGGAGTTAAAGACACGGTATAGGTCTCAGTATTGATAAGAAAGCCGAGAAAAACTAATTCCTTACTAGGTGTAAAATGTGATTTTTCTTTATTAACAGAAAACCCTAACTTGTTAAAAAGGTTGGCGGCCTTATTAGTTGCTAACAGACTTTCCTGTTCATTATCAGCAGCAAAAATAGAATCATCTATAAAATAGGAACACACAATGCCTTGACCACGAAGACATGCAA